CTGTTACTCTTAATGTTTATATTGTGTCTAATAGAGATCTGTGGGTTAGTATCTTACTTGTTGTATAAGAAGATTATATAAGGCCCAAAAGTGTCAAAGAAGGTGGAGGAATAAAAAGGAAAAATTAGTCAGATCCTAGGGTTGAAAGTCTGCTAGCTAAATGGAAGGATGTGGGCTGGTTTGTGTAATGTGGTAGGTGGAGTGCACCGACGAACAGAGGATGGCTTCCGCCCTATACCAAATCACGGTCAGAGAGCCCGTGCAAATGAGGCGTGGCCTTATGATAAATCTTCCCAGTCGCCACGAAGAGAATGAAGAGACAGGGTATTGTTGGGGGATTTCTGTGGAGGAACAAGCTTTCATCTGGATAGAGTCTGGATGGCTTAGAAGTGAGAACTGTGCGGTAGAGTGGGTTACCCTGTACATCGCATCAGAAAATTTGCAAGCTATCATAATAAATTTAGTACTAGGTATTGATCGATCGCTCTCTAGACTATTATGGATAACATAATCCACGCTCGAATCTAGAAAAAGAGATGCTAGTCTGAATGGATTTGAGAGGGTCGTAGGAACTGTGAGGATAAGGAAGGCAAACAAATTTCTTTCGCCAACTGCATATCTAAGGGGAACACTTCCCATGTTCATTGTAGATGCAGCCTTCGGAGGGAGAACCCGAGTGGAAATGGCTGCGGAAGCCGCAATGGCGATACCTGAGAGAGAATATCACGCATCTACCCCTCTGCTAGTATACTACATATACCTAGAGATAGGGCATTTGATTGAAAAAATGGATGGGCAAAACATACTAATCACGGGCCGATTCGTACGCACGTTAACACGATTGGGCAAATAGGCATGTCTACTGGGAGGAAATGAAGCAGGGTATCCTCGAGCAAATAGGAAGGGGTGCTCAGGAAAGACTGAGATAAGACAATTATTAAGGAATGAGAAATTGAGCGGTTACTAAGAAAGGAAAGGTTCTTTCTTCGGCTGTTGTAACAGGAATACCAGGATGACTCCTTTAATATGGTTCGCTGATAGGAGCTTTCTGATTAACCTGCCCAAGCCAAAGGAAGGAGGGGTTGAAATGACACTGCAAAAGAGAACGATAGGCCTGGATGAAGAAATGGATTCATGGTGTGGGATACCGATAGGACAGGAAGCCTTCCTTTGGATAGAATTTGGGTGGACGACAAGGGAAAGGCAAGCAATGGTAAATGTAACCCTTTATTTGTCGGCTCTTCTCTGGAGGGCTCAAGCAATTGATCTTGCGATAGGGGAAAGTCACCCCGTCTCTAAGTACGTGTTGATAGCCGGAATGGCCCTTGACACATTTTCAAGGAAGATGTACTGGGAGAAGAAGGGGAGGTTGTAAAATCAATCGATGCTAAGTGGGAAGCCGAATTCACATATCTGATGAAGTACGTTAAAACCACGTTTCCGAATTTCATAATCAATGAAGCATTTTGGGGAATAGAGAATGTGGAACGAGCGGTACTCGCAGCACAATCCGTTCCAGAGTTGGGCTTCGAGTTCGAGGCGTCGAAACTTCTTTACCGTCTATACTTAGAAATGGGACCAAGATTAAAAGAAAGGGATTCCTATAACGTACTATGCGTAGTAAACACGTACCTACGCATCTACCATTTTGAAGATATCTCGACCTACTGGCGCAATCTTTGCCGGGAGGCATGTATTGAATAATTTATAGATGAAATCCCTTTTTTATTTTGATGGTTAGAAGCTTTTGGCACGGGGACTGGGTGCTCCTAAAAGAAATACTCGGTTGAGAGGAAGGGGGTATGAAAAGTCATATGGGGTAAGGACAAGTGACAAGAGTAAAAGATACGTCAAGATAGTGACGAGAGGGGTGGATCAATGATCGTTTTGTGTATTTTAGCAAAGTCTACGGTCTAGCAGGAACCAAGATAGAAAAGGGGAAAAGATGGGCGATTGTCAGCGCCAATGGAGGGCCGCCGATCACCGCGGCGAAAATCGTCAAGTTACTAGAAAAGAGAACGATAAAGAGGTCTAACCTACCGAGAATAGACATCTTCCCTTTCAAGGGGGATAGGGTGACTCATTGGTTAGAACTACTCGAGCAAATCTTCAACCAATTGACACCAGCCGAGAAGTTTGCCCAGTTGTTCGAGTACGTATGGTGGGAATGCACATCTCGCGTATAAGAGGTAGTGAGAAAGTCCAACAATGATTGGGCTGAGTTTAAAAGGGGCATGCAAAAGACGTTTAAGTTAGGAGATCGCTTGCTCACTATTGACCATCTCTATAACATGAACAGAGATGATTTCACCACGATCAAGGCGTTCGCCAACACATTCAAAAAGACAGCCGAGAGGGTCCCGGGGATGCCTGAAGAGATGCAGTGCGTCATATTCCTAGGAAAATTCTCTGGGTATGAGGCGATGGAGTTAACCCGAGGGGGAACCGCCGAGAGGAAGACAACCTGGGAAACCATAAAGAGGAACATCGCGGCAGGAAACATGGACTAAGTGTTCCATTACCAAATTAAGGTCGAACGAAAGAAAAGAAAGGCAATAGGGACGATCCAAGGAACGGATAGTGTACTTGGAGGAGTGTTGAGCAATATGACAAATGAGATAAAAGAGCTTAGGGAAAGAGTAACACCATCGAAAGTATAAACAGTGACAACCATCAGGAAAGAGAAGGAAGGAAGAGGAAGATGGAAAGGAAGATGTCGAAGGAGGAGACCGGAAGAAGCGGTCAAATTAACAAACTGTCGAAGAAAGGCTAAGAATCTCGCTATCAGAGGACAAGGCTCGGGAAAAGGGCAAGTAACTCAACAAGCGATAGTCCAGTATGGACAAGAGCTGTCAACGAGCACAGCACGATATGGTCAATGGCCCGTGGGTCCACCTATGGGAGCATGGCCCGGGTATTTCCCGATAGGACCATGGCCTACGCAAGGTTCATTTCCCATGTTACCTCAGAATTAGAATTTGGGAGGAGACCAAAACGCGGGACAACTCCAACTAACAGGGCAGAACCAACCGGGATCGAGTCGCCAAGGTGGCCAAAACCAGAATAGGTCCCAAGGACAAGGACAAGGACAAGGACAAGGACAAGGGCAAGGACGTGGACGAGGCAGGAATGCTGGTAGAAATCAGGGACCAGGGAAACGAGGAGCAATAAATAGAGGAAGTGGGTATCAAGGTGGAAACTGGGGTCAGGTACAAAGGGTGCAAATCCGGTAGGGCAAGAATATCAGCAAGGATATGGTCGTGGTTACGACCAAGGCTATGGAAGGGGGTTTGGTAGAGGAATGGGTCATGGAACGGACAGGGTTATGGCAGAGGATGGATAGATTAAAGTGAATGTACTTGTACCCACTGTGGGATTAAAGAACACACGGTAAAACGATGCCACGTCAGGAAGCTTGATGAGCGCGATGGACTCATAACATCAAACATAGATGGCGAGGTATTTGATAGAACAGGAAGGCCGATCGATCCTGAGATTCCGGGAGGCACTGGAGAAGAGGCCCTTCGCATAGCCGCGCTAGGTTCCAACGCCCCGAGAATCTTCAGAATGTGGCAAGAAAAGGAAGGACCAGTCATATGGGTGGAAGATGTAACTGAACTAGAAGAAAAACTGAGCAGAATGGGGATCGAAAAAAACAAGGAAGACGTACCCCTTGTGGAAGAATAAGCAGAAGAGGATGACGTTAGGATTAACGTCAGGGACACGTTTGAAAGGATGGAGGACTTAGTGAATAAGATGCAGAGACTGCATTTGAGGCTTCAAGGGATATGTGAAGAAGCGGAGAAAAAAAGGGGTTGGATGCCCGAAAGTGTTTACCATGGGACGTGGAGGATCGGGACATGGGCCGAATGAGCCCAACCCAAGAATGTTGAGGGCCAATATGGCCGCAAAGAACAGCGGGGGTCAAAGAAGCGTAAGAGGAACGATTCCATTCGCTACAAGAAGACCCGCAGGAGGAAATCCTCCAAAGGAGAAAGCCCATAATTCCCAGCCTGCAGAGGAAGAACCACCTATCATGGTAGAGGGTGACGAAGATGAGGATGAAAAGATTAGGGAGGAAGAAGAGAGGGAAGCGGAAATCAGGGCTAAGATAAGGAAAGGTGAAGTTAAGGATGAAAAATCCAAAAAGGATGAGGCGCCAAGCAAAAAGAGAAAGTACCAGACATCGATCGAAGAAGGGGTAGACCTGGAAGGTCTGGTAAACAAGTTACTAGAAGGTCACAACGAATTGCTAAATCTAAAGGAAATTCTAGCTTCGGCTCCTAAGTTAAGAGAAATGGTGAAGACAAGGTTATCACGCCGGAGAGTGGCCTCGGTCCGGATGGGGGACCTGATTCCCAAGGAGGCAAACTGGAGCGTGGCAGGAAGCAAACTGGACTAGAAGTTCGTGGGAACAGGGTCCATTGATGTTATGATAAAGGGGAAGATGCGTCCTGGGATGATCGACACCGGGGCAGAAATGAACATTATCAATGAAGAAACGACGGTAAAACTAGGACTGGAGGTAGATGAAAACGACTGTGGTTTTCTCAATGGAGCCAGCGACAAGACCGGGTACACGGGGGTTGCCTCGAATGTGGTGATAGAGATAGGAAGAGTCAAGATACGTACGTGTTTCTACGTCATGCCCAACTTGGATCTCCCAATATTATTGGGCAGGTCATTCCTGTGCAGATCCGAGTCGCTCATTATGAACAAGCACGACGACACCATGTTCGTCATCTTGTGCGACCCTGCCTGTGGAAACTTCGAGGTTATCACTTGTAGGAACACAGACCCGCACAACTCGAAGAACAGGCTCAATGTCGGATCCTACACGTACGCGGACACAGAATAGGAGGAGAGATCTGGAATGGGAAGAAGGAGAAGAAGAGTCAGATGATGAGGAAGCTAAAGGGCTAGTACCGAGCCTAACTAATATCAGTGACACAGTGGAACTGGTATCGGCCTATAGGATGGCTGATCCGGACGTAGTCAGGGCGCTCGCAGAAAGGATCCAAGACGATCCAGAAGAGGGAAGGGTCGATCTCGTTTACCGACCACCTCCTCCTTCTCAGATAATAGTGTCGTATGCGCCGAATGCTCAAGCTGTCGGTCAGCAATTTTTAGGGGTGGGCTAAAGCAGGGCTCCAAAAGGAGGTACAAGACGGTAGATAAGAAGAGTCACCCTGTGCCAGTTCTAGTGAGTCAAGAATAAAGGGTGTACTATGATCAGGAAAGAGAACTGATACAACGAATGAGGGAAGGCATCCAGAATGGGCCCTGTCGTATCAACAATGAGACTGAGAAAGAACTGATAATAGGGGAACCTGGGTTTCTGACAAGACAAGAGGAGGACTTGGTGAAGGAGCTGATGCGTGAAAAACATGGGGCATATGCCTTCAACGATGATCAACGTGGGAGGCTGGATGTGGAAAAGATCGAAATGATCCGCATTCATACGGTGCCTCATAAACCATGGAATGTCCGAGGGGCTAAGTACCCCAACCCCGATCATCGTAGCAAGGTGGTAGAGTACCTAGATGGGAAAATCCGTACGGATGTGGCAGGGTACTCCAGTGGACCATATGCCTCTCCTTAGTTCTGTTTTGTAAGGCCAAATGGAGTACTCAGATGGGTGTAAGACCTCCAACGACTGTACGCGGTAATTGTAAGGGATGCAGGAGGTTTGCCTAACACTGACCGGTAGACAGAAGCTTATGCAGGTAGGTCGATTGTGTCCCTCATCGACCTCTACTCTGGATATGATCAGTTTCCAATCTATCCGGCAGACCGTCCCATCACGGCGATGCACACGCCAAGGGGATTGGTCCATATAAATGTTCCGCCGCAAGGATGGACCAATGTTGTGGCCATCGTGCAACGAAGCATGATCAGGGTTATGCAGCCAATCAACCCTCAGATCACCGAGCCATACATAGATGATTCTGCAGTTAAGGGCCCGATTGAGAAGGATGAGTCAGAGGTGGCTCCAGGGGTAAGGAGGTTTGTATGGGAGCATGTTCAAGGGCTGAGAGAAGTCCTAACATTACTAGAAGAGTACAACCTCACAGCCAGTGATGTCAAGTCAAGACACTTCGTGAAGGAGGTAACCATTCTGGGATACATTTGCAATGAACATGGTCGGCGGCGTGATAAGAAGAAGACTAATAAAATCCTGGAATGGCCCACGCCCTTCAGAAATGTGCGTGAAGTTCGAAGTTTCCTTGGTACCTGTGGGTTCTGGAGGAGATTCATAGAAAGATTTGCTAGCAAAACATAGCATCTAAGGAAGCTAGTCCGGAAGAATCAGGAATCGGAATGGGGAAACCATCACGAAGAAGTGGTGGAGGAATTGAAGAAGGAATTCAGAGAGGGAGGTCTGGTACTAGGGGTACCAGACTTTGATGCGACTATGGAAAGACCCTTCATAGTTGAAACCGACGCTGGGCCAACCGCCCTGGGAAGGGTCTTGATTTAGGCAGACAGTGAGGGAAAGGAGAGGCTGCTAAGGTTTAAAAGTCAGACGCTCAACTCGACAGAAAGGAATTACTCGCAGTTTAAAAGAGAAGCCTTGACGGTCCTGCATAACCTAAGAATCTTTATGCATTACCTCTTTGGGAGGAGGTTTGTACTCAGGATCGATCCTATGGCACTTGTGTACTCATTCAAGAACTTCTCGCCCTCAGATCCGACCATTGCCAGATGGCTTACTTACATCTGGATGTTCGATTTCCATTTAGAACGGATCCCTGGGAACAAGAACAGGGCGGATGGCATGAGCAGAAATGAGTGGGGAAACCAGGGAGAATCTAATGAAGAAACGCCTCCGGTAGACGAATTTTTGGAGGAAGGGGAAGACATGCGAACTCGTGTGAACTGTTGGTTCATGTTTGTCGAAAGTAAGGAAATGAGGAGAGGAAATCCAATGTGGCATCCACCGCCCGAATTTATGAGAGAGCCTTCCTTGATACTCACACCATTAGAGGAAGAGGACTCCTAGGGCGAGAGAAATACGGAGTGGATGATGGAGTTGGCTCTGGCAGAGAATTATAGGATGATGGATGAGCCGCGAACGATCGAAGCAGGAGTCCAACAGGCAGACGAGCAGGTAGCCATGATGGGAAGAATGTACTACCTGACAAATTCGTTGTTACAGGTCCTAGCAAATGATGAGAGAGGAATGGTAAAGGTTGATGAGATAGTTATTAAGGATCATTACGAGTTTGATGAAGAGAAGGAAAGAGAATTCGAACAAGAGAAAATCTCATAAGAATTCAGGGAGGAAGAGTACGATGGGTTCTATTTAGAAATGGGGTTGCTCCTCTCAGGAGATAAAAGAGAAAGAGAAGTGAGTGAAAAGACTCTCAGGATGGGAGACCACTATGTAGTAAGAGGTGGCCATTTGTTCATCAGGGACAAGAGGGGGCCGCCGCGACGTGTCGTTTGTGGGAGGAATCGTCAAATTGACGTAATAGCCGCACTGCATGATGGGATAGTTGGAGGACACAAGAGTTTCGCAGCGACTTACAGAAAGGCGATGGAGCTCTACTACTGGAAGGAATGTTTGAGATGACACAAAGAACTGTGAGTTGTGTGTGCCCTGTCAAATTCGATCGCCTATCAGGTACAAGGAACCTCTGCATCTTAGATATATCAAGGAAGTAGGGGCGGTTATTCACCTGGATCTACTGGCTATGCCACTAGCTCTTGGAGGATATAACTATTATATATTTGACGCAAGGGACAACCTTACTGGATTTATTGATGGCAGAGCGATCAGGAACAAGACCGGGACAACGTTGGCAGATTGTATTAAAGAGTATTATCTCAGGTATCCGTTCGTATTGAAGTTCACGATGGACAGGGGGTCTGAGTTCACATGTGGGGAAGTGAAAAAATTGCTGAAGGAATTGGGGGTCATAGGTAACTATACGACTCGGGCTCATCCACAGGCTAATGCACCGGTAGAAAGAGGCCATAGTATAAGTACTAACTTACTGGCCAAATAGACCAGTGGGAAGCCGAACCTCTGGCCAAAGTTCCTAAGAACCGTGCTCTTTATGGAGAACATCACTGTAAAAAGGACGACCGGGTATGCGTCTGCAACACTCTAGTATGGGCGTCACGCCATATTTCCGATTGAAAGCTTCCTGAAAACTTGGTGCAGGCAGGACTTGGAGAACAATTTGACCTTGGAGGAACTACTAGATCTAAGGGCAATGCAGATCAGCGTCATTGAAGAAAGGGTGCAGGAAGCGGTCATGAACGTTGCAGACAACAGGGGAAAAGATAAGGAAAGGTGGGACAAGCTACCTAGAGTGAGACTCGAACCTCTACAAGTTGGCGAGACAGTACTACTCTACGATTCCTCTCTGGAAATGCAGTGGTCGCGGAAACTGGACAAACGTTAGCTTGGACCATTCAGAGTCAAGAAGCAGGGACTTCATGGGGCCTACGAGCTAGAAGAGATGGATGGGACTCCAAAGAAGGACTGGGTTTCAGGGTCCAGACTGAAGAAGTTCCGAATCAGAAGGGAGGTGAGCCTAACTATGATGCAGAAAGCCTGAGTAGACTGGGGAGTGATTATACATATATGTGAGTATCGGTACCTATGCAGGTATGTACCCAAGTGCCTAAGTAAATACTCGTACATGTGGGAATACATATATACATACATATATATATATATATATATGTGTGCGTATATGTACACATGCATGAATATGAAAGGTATAGTGAAATGTACGTATGTATGCACACGCAAATATATGTATATATATATATAGGCATATATATATATGTATATGTGATCTGTGCGTGCATGAGAGTACCAGATAAAGGGAGCATTGTCAAGCTTATGTTTAATGAAAGGTGTTGTCTTGATGATGATCTGATCCTTGTACCTATCATTTGTTCCTTCTCTGTGTGCAGGCGAGACCCTTGAAAAGAAGAGGCCATAGCGCAGAGAGGAGCGGTGGCAAGGCCCTTTGGACATACCTTGAGAAAGGGCGGGCACAGGAGGGATCAGAAAGTCTCAAGGAACCTGGAGGAGCTGCCCATTTACAGGGCTGGAGACAGCTTGCGAGTATTCCTGCGAGACCTTGAGAAATACGCATTTAGAAGAGAATGGGGTGACACGGAGAAAATTGCGAATGTGACTGGAGCAGGAATGTACAAGAGAAGGATTGAAGGAGTGGTGGCAGGGAGCACGAGGTGGAGTGTATGCAAGGTGAGATTATGGAAGGACATGGGGGACTTCCCAAGGGACGATGTGGAAGATGACTTGAGGTTTGATGGGATCAATCTGGAGGACTTTATCGACAGCTTGCAGCTGACCGCCGAGAGAGGCGAATGGAACGAGGAGAAAAAGGAAAAACAGTTGATTGCAAGATCAGAAAGGAGTGAAAAGGAGGAAGTAAAAGGAATTGTGGAAGGGAGTCCGACCTGGAAAAGAATAACAGCAGAATTGTGGATGGCCTATACCCAGGTTGGGCAGGATCAAATTAGAAAGGAAAGGCTGCAAGAGAGGGGGTTATGGATTGAAAGAGAGATGGCTGAGCCTCAGGGGAAAGAGGCAGAGGATGAAGAAGAGGATAATGTGCCTCTGAAAAGATTGAAGAACAAGACGATGGTATCCCCCAAGAGCAGCTGCAAAGGATCTGACCAGGCTGAGGAAGATGAACAGAAAGAGGAGGAGGCAGCAGAAGAGAGGAAGAGAAGCATGGGGGCAAGTGTGGTACCAACGAAGAGAAAAACTGAAAAGAAAAGGCCAATTGAGAGTGGAAGGGAAGAGGTACAGGAAAGGAGGAGTGAAAAGGAGGGAGGAGTAAAGGAGGCTGGAGAAGGAAAGAGGATCCAGAAAGGAGGCAAGACTCCAAGGGTCAAAAGAACTGAGGAAGAAGGGCCGATTGGAGAAAGAGAAAGGGAAAAGATGAGCGGGATAAGAAAAAAGGAAGATGAGAGGGATGCCCAGGTGAAAAAGTTGATGAGAGATATGGAAGAAATAAGGAAGGAAGTGAAGGAATTGAAGAAAGAGACGAAGGAATTGCAGAAAGAAGTGAGCCAATTGAGGGCCTCCCTGAATGTGAACGGCAGAGAATTGGAAAATGAAGCGGTCACAAGAGGAAGGATGGAAATAAAGGTGGATGGTCTGGGCTCTGAGGTCAGTGTGCTAGGACTGGACCTGGACAATGAAATCTCAGAAAGAAAGAAGTTGGGACAGGAGTGGGAGAAAAGATGGGGTGAGATATTGAAAGGAATGAAGAAGCTCAAATTGAACCATCAGGGGAAAGAAAAGGGAACCACAGAGGTGGTGGAGAAAAAGGAGGGTAAAGAGAAAGGGGTACAGACTGAGGAGAAAAGAGAAGAGCCTCCTGCACCAGAAAGGGAGGTAAGTGAGAGTGTGGTTGTGCCTCTGCCAAGACAGAACAAGAGGCAAAGAGGATCCGAAATAGGCTCACCAGAAGGAATTGGGGATCAGGCTGAGACTTCAACCCAGCCGGACATAAAGAAGATCAAGCCTAGTATGGCTGGAAAGAGGTGTTTCTTCTCCACTCAGGAAGGGCATCTCAGGGATGATTGTTCCATTCTGGCAGTTTATATCAAGGAAGGAAAAACCAGATATGATAGTCATAAGAGATTGGTGGCTTGCACGGGACAAATCATTCCCAGGATACCTGAGGGAGGCAGGGTAGCACTTCATAAGATACTGGGACTGCCAATTGATTTCGAGACAGGAATAGGTAGGTGTTTCTGAGTAAATCATGACTTGTATTGGTTTGTAAAACAGTTATGAGAGGGAGAAAGGGGTAATTTAGAGCATGGGGAATGTTTTTTCTTCTTCAGTTAAACAGAGGAAAAGTGTGAGACATGTTGTGTTGCTTTCTTCATTCAGATAGGGAGACTTAGCATAGAAAGTAGTATAAGTAAAGACATGTGAGGTATTTGAGGGATAGTAGAGGTGAGTGGCAATTTGACTCTGTAACATATTTTGTATTTATATATCTTTCAGGGGGATGAGCTGGTGAACACGACGCACTTGTCACATTGTGTGTGAGCCTTTGTCTTTGGTTGTGTCTCTGATAACCTAAGATCTCCCTTCGTCTATCACTACTAGACTCTGTTAAGATCTAAAGAGGTGATAGAGGAACGGGCGGATCTATATTTCATGTGAAAGTTTGATAAGTGCTTGTGAAAACTTCAAAGGCTGGATTAATTGTACGTTTCATGTTTGAGACCATGCTACGACATGGATAGACTCCTTTGAGTCTTGTCAATTCTTTTAATGAAATTCTTTGGCAATCTTCATACAAGTAATGTTTTCTTCGTGGATTCTGACAAGCGATAAAACCGTAGGCAGAGAGAGAGAAGAGGACAACAAACGAGGGGCTGTGACAATATATACAAAATGACCCCGAGGTGCGTGCCTCACCGAGCTATGATTAAAGACTTGGAGGGCACAACCCTGAGTGGCAGCCTGACGAATGCTCAATTTTTCTCATTTATTTGGTTTATTTAAAGCATAGTTCATCCACCTCAAGGGTTAACCTGAGGGCATAAAACTACCAGGCCTATGGTGGAAAATTGGCATCGTTGGGACGCCACTCCCAGCGTGGGCTACTGACCTAGCATAACTAGGCAGCGAACCCTTCGACTATGGCCTAGAATAGGGGCTAGAGAGGATGGCCACCCCAGTGAAGAAACCTATTCAGGTGGGTGTCGAAGGGGTCGAGATTAGTTTGAAATTCATAGGATGACTAACCCATCGTTGCGCAACCAACGAGGGTAACCACTGATAAGCAACAACGCGGTGGGCCGCAGCTCCGGCCTGATTAGCAGGACTGTGGTGGGTCGAGATGGAGACCGTTGTCCTCCTGTATTAGGCTTCGGACAGGACAACAGACAACTTTGAACAAGTAATATCAAGAGTTGAACAACCAAGGTCTCGGTTAAGACCCGCGTTTAACGGGATGAGTTCGTACGCGAACACCAGCCCCGAAAACAACCAACGAATACCTGGATCCAAAGTCTAAGGGTGTGGGGAAATGAAAGGTGCGTTGTCATACTTAACTATTTCATATATTGTAGTACAGATCTAGTATCTCCACTTCGAGTCAGCCAGTTATTTTATAATGTGAAGACACGGGTTAAAATTCCGGGAGTAGTAATGAAAAGTGAGGTGACAAGGTCAATCCTAAACCACATCTCACCCCAGGATTTGGATTTGACGATTTGTTTGTCGGAAAACATCTTTTGTTTGCATATAGCTCTCCGGTCGACGGGGACGGCGCTTAATAGGGTCTGGGATACTATCGGACCAAATACCCTGACAAGGGTATTTGGCCAGGATATTAAAATCGCCAGCCGACTGCGCCGACCACCTTGAAGGACTAGTCTAAGCTTATAATTTCGTACAAGCAAGCGCGTCCTTTTCGAACGCGCCGTGATAGTTAAGACCAACACCGATACCCTTCCACCAGGAAGGTCGAGAGGTTCAATGGGTTACTACTATGCCAGGATACATCGATGGCACGCCTTGTGCGGCCTCAAGTACTCGGCACGCCTACCTTTACTTGGTAGAGGGGTCAACCTACCCCCTATTTGGGTGTTTTCGTCACGCCGACCTCAATAACGCGATCGTAGGTAGGTGTCGGTCGTCAGGCCTTCCGATCAAACAAGTGGCTTGAGCCCGCGCTCGAGCCAACAAAACACTCAGGCAGTACACGAGATGACTTGTGTAAAAAGGGAACGGGTCCGGTCCACTAGTTAGACTAGACCTCTCCTTATACAGCAACTGCTCTCATTCTTTCAAGAATAGGAGCTAGCTCAGTAGGTTTCGGTAGGATCTGAGAAGAAGGGGGTACGAGGATCGAGGCCTACTGGCCACTGAGACTAGCTCCCTTTTGACGAGGAGTTCAGTTGTATTTTGCTCCGGTTACAGCCGGCCGGGACTTGAACCCTCAACCACCATATTAGACTTAGTTGTAGTTGCCCCCGTTAAAAACAACGCTCGACACTTGGCAGGTAGGGAGAACTGCGGGTAGATTTTGTTAGGTTCTTTAATTTCAATTTTCTTTTATTTTCTTTTTTTTGGTTATTTAAGATTTTCTTTTACTCTCGTTGTCTCCCAACGGCCTACCTACCCCGAGGGTGCCCAAATGAATCCCGCCCCAATACTGTGGCGGATTCATCTAGTAAGAAGTCGCCCCGATCATTGCCCAGTCAAACTTCTCCGCGGGTAGGGCATTGCGGGCAAGAGTGGCGCGGCGATGCTCAGCCGAGAAAAGTGGAAGAGAGGGAGAGCATGGGAGGCAGCAGCGAGCGCGAGTCATTCGCAGGCATGCATTCAAGGGCAGAGTAGGCGCTCAGCAAGCACCAGCGCGCGAGCGGACGAGCATGGTAAGCATGCGAGTGCAAACGCAAGTGCGAAAGGAGGACGGCAACGAGTGAGGCAAAGAACTACCAAACAGAGGCGAGGGGGAAAGAAAAAGAGGAAGAAGGAGAAGTAGAAGAAAGAAGAGGAGAAGAGGAAGAAGGAGAAGTGGAAGAAGGACGAGAAAGGAAGAGAAAAAGGAGAAGAGTGCTAACCTGAGCGTACGAACAGGCGACAACTATTGCTGGAGGGACGACTGAAGACGACAACAAACGTCGACAACCGGGGAGCAAGAAAAGGAGGTAAGCAAGTCACGAGTTACGCAGTGATCTCATGCTACTTCACCGACGAAATGGGCAAAGGAAAATAAAATATAAATAAATAAATAAATAAATAGACAAACAAAAAATCTAATGAATTTGTCCCTATGACATGGGAACATACATATATGCGTGCGTGTGTGTGAGTGTGTGTGTGTGTGTGTGAGAGGGAGAGAGAGAGTTGAGTTTCCAACCCACGGCTCGCCGCACGCTACTTGGATCGATAAAACGAGCAAAAAAAAAAAAGGAGAAGAAGTACAAGAAAAAAGAAGAAGAACAAAAAAGTAGAAGAAAGACAAAGGTAAAGAAGAAGAAAGATTAATGAGAGAAAAAGATGAAGAAGAAAGAAGAAGAAGAAGAAGAAGAAGAAGAAGAAGAAGAAAGATTAAGAAGAGAGAAAGATGAAGAAGAAAGAAGAAGAAGAAGAAGAAGAAGAAAAAGAAACTTTCTCTCTCTCTCTCTCTCTCTCTCTCTCACACACACACACACACACACACACACACACACACACACACACACACACACACACACACACACNAAAAAAAAAAAAGTGGCAGTGTATATTTCCCCGTTTCAGCAGAAGATTCATTCCAATTTTTGCTCGTCCTATCGATGGAATGTGTGTGTGTGAGACGTTCATGATTCAACCAATGAGAAGAGAAAGAAAGGGGGAAGGAGAGAGAGAAGGAGAGTGCATAGCCTTGGTACACGTAGCGACTGTGTGTTGGGGAAATGAGGCTGTAAGTGATGCGTGAGACTTACCTGGTGCTTGAGGCAAACAGCATTAGCCAAAATTTGATCGTACCTCGGGGAATTGCTGTCGACATCTGCAAATTGTGGGTAGGACAGGATCTGCCATTCGTAGTCTGGGCGTTGAACGCCGGATAAAATGTCGACATTTGGTTCTCTATGGGTGATGATGAGAATTGTCCAATATTGTCACGTATGAGCCTTCGTTGTGCTCCTATTTGGTGGAACTCGTGTTGCAGTTCAAATCGAAGTCACGACTAACTGGTCTCAGGTATGATGTTGGTCGAATTTCTGTGTTTTCCTATTTTATTATCATGGGTTGATTATTATTATTATTATTATTATTATTATTATTATTATTACTTGGTCATGATTGCAAACTCAGTTGTGTACGAATACGGGGGGGTTACGTACCTCAGCTGCACGCTCGCTACACCGATGAATCCAACAAGTTGTTTGCCTGGGTCGAAAGGCCCGGGTAATCTTCTTAAGGTTCGTCGTGACGGGGATAGATTGTTGTAATTATCGATCTTGAATGAGGAATGCCCAGTAAACGCGAGTCATTGGCCCATGCTGACTATGCCTATGCCCTTAGTACGCACGCGTCGTCACTCCTACCGATTGAATGGTCTGGCGAAGTATATGGATTGCTGTGATCCCGGCAGCTTGTCGCTGAGGGCGTTGCGACGCTCACTGAACGGGAGGTACAAGGCGAGCACGCATTCGATTAATGAATGTGCAAGGAGGAGGAAGGGAGTAAGAAGGAAAGGAAACTAAGATGGCGAGAGAGAGAAAACGTAAGGGAAGGGGAGAAGTAAGAGAAAAGGGGAAGGAAAACGAGACGGAAGTAAAGAAGAGGAGAGAGAAAGGTCTAAGGAAGGAGAGGAGGAGAGAGAGAAGTTGAAGAGTAGAAGGGAAAGAGAGAAGTAGGAGAGAAGAAGAGGGAGAGAAGGGGAGGATGAGAGAGGGAGAAGAGAGAGAAGGAGAGAGATCGAGGAGGATGAGAGATGGAGAAGTGTGAGAGGGAGAGAGAGATCGAGGGGGATGAGAGAGAGAGAGAGAGAGAGAGAGAGAGAGAGAGAGAGAGAGAAAGAGATACAACTGCAGCATGGCCATATGTGACTGCGCGGGTACACAGAGAGGGAGAGAGAGAGAGAGATACGACTGTAGCGTGGCCAGATGTGACTGCGCAGGTACACAAAGAAAGTGACGCGTATATATTTCGCGCTTCGGGCTTCCGTTACCACGATCTGGACACATGAAAACGGCCACCGAACATACATGATACACAGAGAGAGAGAGAGAGAGAGAGAGAGAGAGAGAGAGAGAGAGAGAGAGAGAGAGTTCTTCTTTTTCCTCTTGTGAGTCCACCATCTCCCCTCATCCTCTCGCTACCTAACTTCTCAGTACCYGCAGACTACGAGAAGGAGAGAGATTGGTGGCTTTGGAACTTGACGACATTTGGATTCAGACTCGACATTTGGATTTCAGACATATCAAAGGGGGATTATTTGGGACCTGTATCGACGATTTGGTGTTGACGACATTCCCATCTATCCCCTCTTCTTCCTCTGATCCCCCTCTTCTTCGTCTAATCCCTCCTCTTCATCAGTGTATGGAAAGGACAGGCGCGTTCTTCCTGTGTGAGCGCCTGGCCCCTTCACACCGTAGGACGATGACGATGTACGTTGGGACTGCATTGCAATATTGATAGTTCGGATCATTGGTATCCAAGTCTCCACCGCGCTATCTTGTGCTTCGTACGAGAGGTCGGTTCTTGTTCTGGCCTGCACCTTTACAATATGCAGCAGGGTGTACGTGTGTGTGTGTAAGAACGAAAAGGGAGAGAGAAAGAGGAGATGGGGAGAATCGAAGAGGGAGAAAGAAGGAAGAAATGAGAAAGATAAGAAAGATTGAAGAAGGAAAGGCGACATGCACATGGCATCTGAGTGAGGGAACGAGGTTATGAAGTACTAGGGGCGTACTTGGAGCTTCACGCATGTGGCGAGAGAGTCGATGTATGCTCCTACTTCAGGAGGAACTGTTGTCGCCAACCTCGGCATTGTAGCATAGGCTAGGTAGGAACTTCCATGTGTAGGCTGAGCACCAAGCACTGGAAAGAATATCAACTCTGGTTCTTTGCTAATGATGATGATGCTATTCCAGTAATGTCGTCTATAAGTAATTACTGGGCTCTTTTGAGGTGAAACTCATGAGGCAATTCTGCTGATTAGTTCGAAGTCAGGACGGTCTAGTTTTTTGTAAATGATGCGGATTGATTATTAAAACTCCCTATTGATCAACTTACCTGATTATTATTGTTATTAGTTATTATTATTATTATTATTATTATTATTACTGTTATTATTATTATTATTATTATTATTATTACTGTTATTATTATTATTATTATTATTATTATTATTATTATACAACCAGATTGCTTTTATCCGTATTCTTCATACATGTAAGTGGCAAAGCAGCAGACGGACAACGTGCTAATTACAGGCATTTTTTTAGCAATGCATTATACGCCTCATGTAGATTTAGCTTTCTACAGAAGTATGGCACCTAGATACGAGCTCAATTTTGATTGGTTATGGCAACTCGGCACTGAATCTCCGTTTGTGCAAAAATACCTGACTGTTCACAGTTTGCTCGAGGGCATCAACCCGCATGCATACATATCGTCACGCGTTCAAAATGACTTCACACAAAGCTCGGTTGAGATAAGATAAGAACCGGGTAGCACAACTTATATTATCAATGTCACGTAATGCAAAGAATATCATGAGTTCCAGAGCACATCACCAACARCACGGGTCGGTATCTGGCTCGTAACAATGAGAGAGGGTTCTTCTTCTTCCCCTTCTCAGTCCACCATCTCTTTTCTCTCCTCTCACCCTCTGACTTCACTGCATCTGCAGACTACGAGAGAAGAGAGACAGAGCTTGGCGACATCGGACCCAGACTCGACTTTGGGCTTCAGACATAGCAACGAAGGATTATTTGGGGCGGATGACAAAGACTGGGTATTGACGATATTCCCATCTCTCTCCGTCCTTTCGTCTGAATCCTTCCTCCTCGTCGGTGTATGTCTAAGCCTGGCACTTTCCCCCCTTGTGTACTGCGTCAGGCTCCTTCACAACTGGCGACGGATACGATGTATGTTTGGCCTGCGTTCAAACATTGATTGGGCTAGTTATTAGCACTCTGACATTCTGCTTCGGTATTATNAGAGAGAGAGAGAGAGAGAGAGAGAGAGAGAGAGAGAAAGAGGAGAGAAGGGAGAGGGAGAGAGAGAGATCGGAGAGAGGGAGAGAGAGAGAGATCGGAGAGAGGGAGAGGGAGAGAGAGAGAGATCAGAGGGAGAGAGTGAGATCGGTGCAAGTGAGCTAGGGAGAGAGAGTGCGGAAGAGAAATAGAGGGAGAGAGATCGGGGAGAGAGAGAGAGAGAGAGAGAGAGAGAGAGAGAGAGAGAGAGAGAGAGAGAGAGAGAGAGAGAGAGAGAGACAATTGCAGCATGGCCATATGTGACTGCGCGGGTACACAGAGAGGGAGAGAGAGAGAGAGATACGACTGTAGTGTGGCCGGATATGACTGAGCAGGTACACAAAGAAAGTGACGCGTATATATTTCGCGCTTCGGGCTCCCGTTACCACGATCTGGACACATGAAAAAGGCCACCAAACATGCATGATACAGAGAGAGAGAGAGAGAGAGAGAGAGAGAGA